GGTTGGTTTTAGTTTAACTTCCAATCAAAACACTAGTTACGAAAATCATACATATGGTCGTTTCTTATCCATAGAACATGGCATATTTGGATTAAACTATGCCTTCTTAAATTTTAATAGTAATATGGATGAACCAATTAAACTAGTCTTGTCGGAAGAAAATATCAGGAATAAACATTTTGCTTATCTTAACATTTTACCAAAAAAAAAAAAAAACATTTTGCTTCATGCATGCACCAACATCATGCAAAACAAGGGTAAAATTGTAACTTTAAATCCACAATATAGGATTTTTTTTTGTTCTGATCTGAAATATGCATCCACTTAATAAATCACTACATATTTAAAAGTTTAACCCTAAAATAATAACTAAAATCCCCAAACTACCCTCTACTCTTCTATCTTACTCAACTTCGTCGCATACTTCCTCCTCCCACCACCGCCGCCGCGTCTCTTCCCGTTCCTCGTCTCACCGCTCGTTTCCACCGCTGATACTCTCCGGACGGAGAAGATAACCGGAGAGACACATTTCCGACGACACTTACATTTATCTCTGCCGCAAGAACCACCGCTTCTCATAAGAGCAGAGCTAGCTTTAACAGCCAATGCAGCCATTTCCTCAGCTTTAAGAGAATGATGAAGCGAGGTAAGAGGTAAAGCGAAGTAAAGCTGTCCAAGCTGAAGCTCTTCGTCGGCGCTAATGGCGGAAACGACGTCGTCGAAATCCATATCATCGGAGTTACAAATGAAACACATCGGATTCTTCTGAAGAACGTAACCTACTTTGACCGGAGTAGTAAACTCCATCATCCTACCGTCTTGTAAGATCAGCTTCGCCGTAGCCACTTGTGTCGACTCGTAAGAGCTGCATATACCCATTTGGTTTGACTCACTGAGTCGTCCTCGTCGAGTCGGTTTCCGGCGAATGAGTTGAATAGTGGAGAGATGAAGAAGGGAAATGTGTTTTTGTGTGTATATATATAAAAAGATTTGCCACGTAGGATTATGTCGTTTTGTGATTATGTTTTTTTTTGGATTAATTTAATTTTGAAGTTTGAACGACCAGTGGGGGCAATGACAGGCTGTAAGTAAGTTGGGAGGATGACAGCTTTGTGTTGAGATTCTCATTAATTTACCCTTCGTTTTCGTCTATAATTACGAGTTTTAGGGACTGTGCTTATGAATCAAAATTCATTGATCATTTCACTAATATATTTGTCTTTATCACCTATCTCCATAATCAAATGTAAGTGGTTTGGTTTAGGTCTAACTTACATAGAAAATAAATAAAAATCTTGTAAGAGAATTGACCGAAACATTTTTACCTTGAAGATGTTCGAGCTCGAGCTCTCTTTGCATATCCACTATTGATACATTTTCATAATAATGTTTCTCGTTTTTTCATTTTAGATTTGATACGAGATATAACAATTTTGTCAAAGAGTCCGGCTAATCCGATATGAACGTGTTTCTTTGGTAAAGAGTTTCCTACAAATCCACAACAGATTAATACACATCAGAACCAATATTCGAATGATCAAATGTCTAATGCGCAAATTTGCATACAATAAAATCGAATCTAAACTGCACCTTTGGTCTTACATGTAGTGGACTGTGCACCACATTCAGGTTAGCTCTTTTTTCGTTAATTGATGAACCGATTATTCATGGATTAGTGGACTGTTTGATACGAAAGTAGAAGAGTGTGAATGGGAATGAGTATGTTTGTTGCATAAACAAATGTTTGAGTTATCAAGTTTTGTCATAATAAAAGGTAGTCATTAGACAAAATTAGTAAACTTCCTCTTAAAACTTCTCGTTCGATAAATATTTGTTTGGTTCGTGATGTATTTTTTTTTTGGGGTTAAATGGTAGCGTATGTATGATGGTGATATGATGTGGGGATGTGTATAAGTTGCATGATCTAAAATTTATTGTGAAAATAACATAATCCTATAAATAAATAAAGAGGGACCATGCATTTATATGGTTCCCCTTTATAATTCAGTTGCAATTCTTTTGTAAAGCATCTAATATTTATTTACGTATTCGAATAGATTATTAGCTTTCATATACTTTAAACATTTGATTTTGATCGGCCAAGAAGCTACGAGATACAACCATTAATGTTAATTTAAATTCATTGTCGAGTATGTAGGGATAGACACTAGGACTTGGCAAATTATTCTTTCATATCCTCAGTGATCTGGACAAAAATTAGATATCAATTATGATTAAAGCAAATCAAATAGCAAAATGTAGAACTTAACTGAAATGATCAAATAACGGGAAAATTTTGGATTCGATAAAAATTTACGAAATAATCATAAGAACTAGTTTTAGAAGATTATGATGTTTTGTTTTTAAGTAATATTTTTAACACATTTCTAATATAAACAATATATATCACTTTTAAAAAGGGTGAAAATGTGAAAACTTGATGAGTATTATATGGTGAAAGACAGAGCCGTGCTCAGATTAACAGAGGCCATAAGCGAGTAAAAAAATTAATATATATTAAACCAACCGTTTAAAACAATAAATCAAAGTTGCTATGGTTGATTATTTATATTTTTATTTGAAATTTGAGGAAAATTATAGAGTAGTTAAACTTTAAAATAACGCATTAGACTACACAAAACAAAATATTCATAGAATTAATCGTATAAAATGAAGAAAGGAAGCATAATCATTAATTGATTAAGACGATTTTATAATTTGGGAGAAAACGTTAGGCAAAAATTGGTGTTAGAGAGCACAATTTATCCTAATTATTCAGTATGTTTTTATAACTTTTCTCGTCACTCAAAATCATATTTATTATAAAAGTTATATACTTATATTATGTTCCATAAAAGTTCAAAGAACGTAAATGTAAGTATATAACTGGACTCTGTAATTAAAATAACTAGGGGTCTTAGAATAAAAATATTAATAGAAAAAGCCTCTTAATTTTTTTTTTTTTAAATGGCCGTAGGCCATTGTTTCTATTTTCATAAGGTAGCCACGGGCCTGGTGAAAGATAGCGGAAATGAACGTAAAAAAATGTGAAAGTGGTATACATTCATCGCCATAATATAATATATACGTATGCAATGAATGTTGTTTTATTTTTCTCTTAGATTGAAATTCAATTAATTGTTTTTTTTTTTTTTGATACGTGATGAATTTCAGTGCTCATGGCCTGGTCATGAGATGTAGATGGATCATCCAAAGCACATTAGCATGGTAGTGTACTTCCTTAAGTCATGTTTAGGAAGAATAGCAGATCAAATACATTTTTATCTCATACGACTCTTCTTTTAGGTGGAAGATTAGATCAGAACGAGATTTTGGTCTATATCAAGATTATTATGTAGAAGTTGCTTTTTATCCACTTTTTTGATGAAAATTTGACATACGATTCTGAAATGGAGATAAACAGAAGATGTGTTAATATAGGTTTGGAATAAATAAATTTTCAACTAAACAGACGGATGAACAAAAATAAAATAAAACTAAATAGACGTGGCTTTTGCATGACCAAAATTAAAAGAAGTTGGAAATAAAGAAAAAGAAAAAAATGAATTCGTGCCGATGACAAAAATAGAACGAGTAATTTGGATATATGACGTGGCTAAATCTGCCACATGTCATTGTCATTAAGCAATGACGTGTCAAATCGGTATGACATGTCTCGTTCAATAAGCGTGTCCTACCTGAATTCAACAAGTTGCTGGAGATAGGGGAAAAAAAAGAAAGATTGTAACAACAAAATAGAAGAAATAAGTTAACAATATAAATATATAGTAGATAGAGTCATTTAGGCTAATATGCTCTTACAACTCAAAATATTAAATGGTAGGTCGTTTAATAATTATTTAGACTATATAGCTAAGAAAAAAAAATTTTAGACGAATTTACCTTCTAACACACCATAAATCAAACTGTTCAATTTGTTATAAAACAGATATAACATAATAGTTTTTTTTTTTTAATCAATTTCTCTTTCATCAATTTTTTTTTCTCTTTTGATATTCACACCTATAATGTTTATTATTAGAACTAAATCATTTCAAAATCAATATGTAAATTTTTTTTCCTTTATATGTTACAATTTGAAATTTTAAAAATAGACATAAATTACTCAAATTATTTATATAATGTTAAAATGAAACGTAATATACTATATAACATGGTATACCATACAAATATATAACATGATACATACCATATAACGTGTAGTATCATATTCATCATGTTATAAAAAATATTCAAATATATTTTGAAGTTTACTGCTATGTAACATAAAATGATATTTATAATTATAACGTGTCAATATCATGTTAATATATGGCATGTCATATACTATATAATATGCCATCTTTTTATATAACATGCTATACGATACAATAATATGATGTGTATAATAATAATGTAACATGCTATGTTAATATACGACATTTTATATAATATATAAATGTTATACGATATAAGAATATGATGTGTATAATAATACTTTAGCATACCATATTAATATATGATATGTTCTATGAATATAACATGCTATATCAAATAAAAATATAGTATAGAGCATGTTATACTATATTTTATTCTCACATTATATAGATAATTTAAGTAATCACAAATATAATAAAATAGGATCATCAATATATATATGGTATGTCATATTTATGATGTTACGTTTCATAGTAACATTATATGAACTGTTTGTGCAATATATGTCAATTTTTAAATTTTCAAATTATAACATATGTGGAAAAAAAATTTAATTTTAAAAAAAATATTAGACAAAACAAATAGCAAACAGAAAAATAAAGTGATGAAAGAAAAAATTATTTATAAGAAAAAAATATTGCCAATTTCGCATGGTATGTCATACTGTTCTCAGACACAAACTGACATAAACGGACACAATAAGAGGGGTATTTAGGTCATTTGGCAACCTATTCAGTTAATAAATTCAAAAACCGAATATATCGTTAAATATACTAGTTTGACAGGTTACATCGTAGTATTTTCCTAGTAGATAATGTTATTTATTTTTAGTTATTAAAAATCTATAGATATGAATAGTAACAACAAAATAGACGATGCTAAACAAAAGCAAGGAGATCGGATATAGCAATTAGTTATTACGGATCAAATAAATTTGATAAAATAAACGGTATAAGAATCTAAATTTGTTGGATTAAAAACGTGGTGAAATACAAAGCTGATGTCAACAACATCGGAGGCAAAAGCCCGCAACATCGGAGCCAAAAGAAAGCCTTACATGTAACAACCGAAAGACCAACTTAACACTTTTGAACAAAACTATACCCCAAACCACGGAGAATCCAATGAAACACATTACAACACCTTATAGAAATGGGATACCAACTCTGAACCTACAATTCAAACAAAAGGAAGACGGGAACGATGGAGCTGAATTCTTGAAATCACAAACTCCAATGTCTGTGACTAGTACTAAAATCCACACGGATGACTGTAGCAAAATGAAAACAAGGCGTAGAACACCACCAACAAAGAGAATAAAAAATAATCACAAACACTCCGATGCTTCTTCACTAATACTCAATCCAATTTCGTTGAGGGAAAGCCGTTGATATGCATTGCCGTAAGAAGAATTATTCGGAAAAACAGAGAGGAAGGACTCTTAGTTGTTGGACGGGGAAAACCTGCCCCTAGAACATCTTCATTATCACGAACGAGAAGTCAACCAGTAACACAAACAACCTTCACCAATGAATAACCAAGGAGGAAAAAAGGCAAACCCATATACCACCCAGAGATCAAGAGCAAAATGGAAGGATCGAGCCCGAGGATAAATCGATAAACTAGACATAAGTTTAAAAAATGGAGACAGTTAACCGATCTACAAAAAACAGGGTCATATAGGTCCGGAGCAGCGAAAGGGACCCAATTAAACAAGCTATACCCATCAAATAGAGCCAAATCAAACTACCTCGACTCCAAACCCCTGAATTATGACCGAGACGATCTGAACAAGATCACGACAAAAGAGAATAGATCCAGAGAATCACCAATGATAAACATATATCCGATCTCAACCTCATCCCTTCCAAGAAGCCTAAGGCAACGACTAAACCTAAAGCCAGCCAAAACTACCTGAAGGTCTTGACAAGAGGAGCTAGAACTTCACCTTCAGCAACCGAGCCAGGACCAGAAGATACTTCGCGGAGCTTCATCTTTAGCAATCGAGCCAGACCAGATTCGATCTCTCGACCACACCGAATCAATTTTTCCATCTCCAAACTCGACTTAAACGCAGTAAAGCAAAATCAAAGGAAACTATGGACAATATCTAGATAAAAGAAGACCGGCGCCGAGGAGCCGCCGACACCGGTCACAACAACGATGGATGAAGTCGACGGCTAAGGCGAAAGCTGTTTAAGAGGAAAAAATAAATTTGTGCACAACAGTCCAAATGATAACAAAATATATACATTCACATTTAGATTTATAAATTTTTGTTATTAGCGGATGCAACATAATGCGGGAAGTATAATATCTATTTGAAGCCTAACTTGCAATTGGACTACATTTGAACCACCATAATTTGGATAATGGTCCAATTGCGGTTCACAAAATAAAGCAAAAGTATAATTTAAACTAAATATTATCGTTTTATATCGTATCGAAAATAAAATAAAACTTGTAGACGGTGACAAAGTGTGAATTCTGGACTCTGCACTTTTTCATGTTACTATTCGTAACTTGTATATATGCTTTATATATTTTGTTGTTTTTGGAAGCATGGTATTAAGAATTGATCATGGCTGTTTAGCTCACATGATGGGTCAATGGTTAATTGTCAACTAAGCACATTGATGCCAACCACAAGTGACTTGTGTTCCGTAATAAACTTCTATTTATCTATTTTTAAAATTTTAATTTTGTATTTCAAAACACTTCACGTATCCGTGTAATCCAAATTCAACCTCATTAAGCATGTCTATGTACATGCTGTTTGGGCAGTGGTCACTACTTAACTTACGGTCTTTTTATTCTGAGTTTCTCGTGCAATCGAAGGAGAAACAGATAGGCGTTTTGATGATTCCAAAGTTAATTATTTTAGACTTAACTTTTGAATGTCTATTTAATAATGCAGGTTGGCGACTTGGCTATAGTACACTCGTAATCTGTGTTTTAATTTTTACGAAATCATTTGGTCTCTATTATAAATACTTGTCGTGCTGCGTGTGCAGTCTATTGATTTATGAGGAAATGTAAAAATAATCTCAAATTTTATTTTGTTTTGAAAACTAACCTTTTTTCAAAATCTTTGAAATTTTTTTTTTTTCATACTTAAAATTACGAAAATATCCAAATCAAAATCCACCTTATATTTTTTTATAAGAAAAAACATGAATAAATATCACATTTTTTTTAATTAGAAATAAAATATAAATCATCATTTTAGTTATCGTTAGAAAACAGAACATAAATTTTGGTCCTTCCTATGATTAAGCTATCCCTAAAATTTTACTGCATTATCTAACAAAAAAATCTAAATTCCGACACTAAAACATTCGACGATATTTGTTTAAGATTTGACTTTTTAGAAAGCTCTATATATATTTTTTTCATATATGAAACTCAAAAGTGAGTTTTTTTTCCTTTCTTAAAAATAGTACAATTGTTTGAGATTTATGGAGATTGGATGATGCATAAAGGATCATGGAATTTTGTGATTAAACACAACAAAGAAAGTAAATTGCTTCAAATCATAGATGATATTTTATATTGAAATTGGATGAATTGGTTCAATTATGGCATAGATGGTTTGATTGATGATATAGAGCTTAATTACATGTTGCCTAAGACGATGTTAGTGAATATGCATAAGATATTCCTCCTATTATCATTGATAATGATCGACAATTAGAGAGTTTTGAAAAAATTTTGGAATATTAAACCAATTCTCCCAAAAAATAAACTACGATTAGTTTCGAAAATAAATTTTCTTTTAGTTTTAAATGTTCAAAAATTTATCAGAATATTTTTGTCTTTTTATTTAACAAAAAAATTATTTTTTAAAATTTTCAAAACAAGAGTTTTTAGTTTTCAAATTTTGTAAAATTTTTGGAATATTAAACCAATCCTCCCTTGATTTATTAGGGAA